TCTATATAGAATTATTCATGAAGAAAGTACTTTTCATTAAGAAACAAAGGTAAATAAAACATGACCTTTTCTTTAAAAAGTAGCAAAATTGAAGATTAAGACAAAAAGAATCAATAAATGTACAAATATTTTATATGTGAAAGGAACTTGAATAATGTCAAGTTTTCATGTATATGAAAAATATGAATTTTTAAGAATGAAGTTGTGAGAGAATAAGAGAAAAGTTTCACTTTAATATGAAATTATTGACTTTTGTTTTTAGATGTGGATGAATAAAAAAGCTAAGTTTAGTAAATATGACATTGTAATAAAATTATACATGTAATATTCATAGTCTAAGTATTTTTTTCTTGGGAACCCAGTTTCAACTTGTGTACAAAATACAATGTGTTTTATGTATTTTATTAAAAATGTGGAGTTAACATCTCAAAGACATAAGTAACAGCTCAAAATATGAGAGCAGTTATTCTGAATGCTCTCGTGCTTTGACCAAGTTTTTTTTTTTACTTTGCAATCATGTGCTCTGCCTTTTTAGTGCATGCCTTGTGGCCCTGGAGACAGGGGCCGCTGCTTTGGCCCCAGCATCTGCTGTGGAGAGGGCCTGGGCTGCCTACTAGGCTCGGCAGCTGCAGCTCACTGTGAGGAGGAGAACTACCTGCTGACCCCCTGCCAGCCTGGAGGGAGACCCTGTGGACCTGCGGGGGGGCACTGCGCCTCCTCGGGGCTCTGCTGTAACTCTGGTACAGTCTCGTCTTTAACTCCGGGTTTAATGGTCATGTGATGATGTGAACTGATCCATGTTTCTTCTCAGAGGGCTGCATGGTGGACTCTGACTGCCTCGGGGAGACAGACGCCGCAGATCCGGCCCAAAGCTCTGCAAGGAGCTCCCCTACGGACCTGCTGCTCCGTCTCCTTCACGTGGCCAGCAGAGGACAGAACGATTACTGATCCTACAAGCGGCAAGCTCCACCTCTACGCCTGACGACCTGCAGCAACGACAGATATTAGACCTCAATCTGTGAACTCTGAACCCAGTCGAGTTTTTTTTTCTCTCTTAAACGTCTTTTCTGTGTTCTTCAACTTGTTTTAATAGAAACATAAGAACAGAGAGATTAAATGAACAACAGCATAGATCTTGTTTACCATTAATGTAAGAAGAAAGGTACATACATGCACATAATGTGCACAATTCAAGGCAAAAGAGACCGTGTAAATAAACAAAGGATCAAGGATTAAAGTTGTCACTGTCTTATGAGGTCGATGTAGTGTGTAACTCTGCCTGAAGGACTTTGTTGTTTTTTCTCATCATACCTGTTGGCCTTTATTAGTCACACCTAGTGAGGTTTCCGTGTGTGTGAAAGAGAATGGAATGATAACTACACTCGATATGTCATCTGCGGTAATTGGCGTGATTTAGTCAGTAATTTATGGAGTTAGTGTCATCCTCTTTAAAGCTCAGAGATCTTGTGGTCTTGTGCCAACATGTTTTATTTGATAAACCAGTGGGTGGGAATTCTGTTTTTTTTTATTTTTTATGATGAATGAATTTTGACATGGGTGGCAGAGCTGCAGGTGATGGCAGTTTGTCGACATGGTGTTTCAGCTGGAAGTGAATGCAGCACCTCCCAGATTTAGATAATAACACGTTTCAATCCATCAATTTTGTTTGAAACCTACAGTCTTTTTTCTACACATTATATATATATATATACTTTTGTTTTTAAAATTCAGTCCAGTGTCATTATCTGCGTATCCCCTTAAACAGTGCAAAGCATCAATATTTCAGACGAAAATCAATGTAGAACATGTCAAACTAATTAATCCAAAAATTAAGTTATGTGTAGCAAAGTGGAATGATGGAACAAGCATTAAACACCTTTGAAGGAAAGGCTTTTCTGGTTATGATAGGCTGAAAACATTTCCTGCTTGGAGAAACTTTGAGATTTTGACCCATTTTTTCACACAAATTGAAGATTTTACATTATTTTCTGTTCTATCTGTAAATTTAGGCCATTTTAGAAGCTTTATTTTTTCTTTCAAAATGCAATAGAAAATTTTCTTAGCAACATGTTTGGGATAATTCTCTTGCTTTAAAGCCCATCTTTGTTTTCAGCCTTCATATAGCCAGTGGCTGATCTGCACTTAACTTACATTCTTCTTTAGAAAAGCTGTGGCTGCTGCTTCAAGGTCTTTCTGAAGTTCTCTGCTAGGAGTTTTCCATCAACATAGTTTTGAGGACATTCCAGTTCTTAGATGTAATTTGAATCAGTGTCACATGTTTCCATTGGAGGAACAAGATTCCCAAATGCCAAGTTAGTTGCAGCAGGACACCATGCAGTACCTGGTTCTTCAGCATGAACTGCAGCGTTATCAGTGGTGTCAACTTGTGGGCCGGTCAAACTGAAGAAACAAGCAGCAAACTGGGGCCGCAGATGAAGTTCACAATATCCTTCTACTCTTCTTCCATGTTGTGCAACTTTTCCTGTTGATGATGATGAAAACAGGCATGAGTTCTCAACATAATACCGCTGCTTGGTGACATGTGAACCAAACCTGTTGTAGAACAAGAGATCTTTCAGAGGAAACGTGCTGTTTGAGTTTCGTTACCTTTCCACTCCCTTCTTAAGCTTCAATTTCTGTTAAAATGTGAATCGTCTCACCTTTGTCAAGGTTGAGACAGTGATTGTGCAACGTCTTTCTTGTTGCTTATCTACATCATGATGATTCTTTAAGAGACATTGATGTGATTTAAAACCACATTCTCCAAAAACAACCAACAGTCAAGCAGAGGTAGTGGGGGATCATTGGGCGCTCCAAAGTAAATCATTACTGTTTATTTTGCAAAGCAAACATGCTGGGTTGTTATACAACTTAAGTGCACCACTGTCTTCATGTCGCAATGGCTAAGACAGAAAGATCACATAAAGGGCGACACGCTTGCTTCACCGTCTGGAACGTGGGAACAGAAGTCCTTCTGTAAATAAAGAATGCTTTCTTGTGACAGTTTTGATCACTGCCACATCATTTATTGTGAGTTCCTGAACAAGCATCTCCCTGTCTGTTGCCTTTGCTACTTAAAAAAAACTCCTCCAGGGCAAAAACTCAAATTATATTTTCTGCTTGCACGCTCAGTGAAATTGCACAACATGTGGTGAGATGTGGGAAGCTCCTACAATGAACATTGGCTTCAAATGTGTTTACGGTGAATAGTTAATTGTATTACTGCCAATGGAACCACTTCAGAATAACACTGACTTGTTCTTATATCAGTGATGTAAAGAAAGTTTCTGTATGTCCACCAGTAGTGTTTAACTGCTTACTGTGAGTTACATTTTATGTCTTTTTGGTGGAGAGCTGTATTTTTAATTTATCAGCTTTTGATATGGCTGTAATTCAACTACAAGTAAAAAGTAATTGATCTCTTGTTTAATAATTACTAGAAAACGAAGAAATAAACATGAAACTCTCTAATCCAGAGAATACGGCTGAAGTTGTGCTTTCCTGCAGATGGATGAGGGTTTGGTGTCCAGTTTCAATGGCAACCAACTATTGATTGTACTGACCAATAATTGATGAAAATCTCCATTATTTTGATTGTTTTTTGTGTTTTAACTTCAATAATAATGACAGCATTTATTTTTTTTTTTTTAAAGAGGTTTTTTAATAATTTTTTAATTTGTAAAGAAAATAGAATGATTTCTCTTTCTGGCAGCAACAATCGCCATCAAGATGTTGAGACAACAGAAACTGAGTCTTATACATTGTTGCAGATTCATTTTCAGTCATGAATAGCTTTTTAAAGGTCCTGTCACAGCACAGTAATTAAGTTTTTTGACAAAGCCCTTGCAAAATCTTCACTTTGTGTTTTTGAGCTACTTAAATTTGGATGTTGTGTTTCTCTTTCTATCCTTCAGTTCTGTTCCATGTTTCCTCCATTTGTGGATAAAACGCTGAAATCCCAAAGCCTTAGAAATCCCTTTCTAACTCTTTTCAGAAAAATTGATGTCAGTCTTTTCTGTTCTGGCTTTTAAAATGCTTTTGGTTGCTTAACGTTGACAAGCAGGTCCTATTTGAGCAAATTCTTGATTGTAGAAGTCATGCAGTCATCAGGCTGGGTCATGTCTGGTGAACCTGAACCAAAAAAAAAGGTTAATTACAGTTAATTTATGACAAGGTCAATTTAATTTTACTTTGAAGCTTCTTCTGGGCAACAAGCCATGTGTTATATTTTACTGTGTAGTGAAAATATTTTCTTTTCTCCATAAAAAAAAAAAAAAAGTTTTAAAATATCATTATTGTTGGGCATGGAAACAAATATAAACTGTTTTTTATTGCAAGAAAAATTTCTGTTAGAATCAATAGTTATTTAATTTTCTTGGATAGTGCTGGGAGATTAATTTAATTAATAGTGATGCATAAGTGAATATTCTTGAAAAAGAAAACTCAAGGTTTAGAGCTTGAAATACAATACGAAGATTAAACATTTCAATTACCTGTAGTACACGCTTAATCTCCAGACTCATCCAATCACATTTGTTGTTGTTTTCCAAAAACGAAACAAAAACTTTGTCTTTTCAGTACAGGAACACGTGTTGGAGTCATGTTCATGCAAAAACATAAATCATCTAGAAATTTGCACAGCATGTTTCCTGGCACGGGTCTTTGAATGCACACTTGATGCATTCAAAGACATAGAACATTTGGTATCATGAACTTCCTTGCCACAAATCCTCTGCAACTCTTGACCTTCTGACTTTTGGTTTAAACAAAAACGATTCAACGGTTTTATTTTTATTTGTATTTTTTCTATATCTTTTGTTGCTGCTTTTGTGGCTTTGTCAGATAATCATGTGTCATCAATGAGTCAAAAGACAGTCGGTTGATGTGCTGTAATTAAACTTGTCCAAGCCTGTCTCTGGATAGCATTCCTGCACCAATCCACCATCCACAGTTTTAATAATCCGGATTCAGTAACGGCAGGGTTTATCCTAATAAAAGACCTGAACGCCACCGATCATCACTGGTCTTCAGCCTTTTGTGGCTTTCAGAAAAAGCGTGTTTGGCCTGGCGGGGGGTGTGTGCACATGCACATGCACACGCACATGCACGTTCACAATCACCTTATATAGAGCTGAAACAGAGCTCATCCCCACAGTTCCTCTGCCATCATGGATCTAAAGGTCGTCTTCCTGGTCGTCTCCCTGGTGACTTTGTCCATCATCTCCACTGACGGTAAGACCTGCACTTTACTGCGCAAGTCAGACCAAAATAATCAGTTAGCAAGCATATTAATAATCATTTAATCTGATTATTATTTAAAAATATTCTTTGGAATTAGAGTAAATTGAAATGTTTTTTTTTTTTTTTTTCCAAAAGGAGCAGCTGGAAGGCACTTGGAATTTTCTTGTTGTTTCAGTCTTTCAAAGTAAAAATAAATTGTGCATAATTTTTCTGTCTTTACAGACCAATTATATGATTCAATACCTTTTGCAACATGCAAAGCTTTAACTGATATATTTTTTTACAATTAATCACAAGCTTCAGGCTGCAACAGCACATGGAAAAACTCCACAGCTAATTAGGATGTTTATAGACTTTAATCATAACTAGATTAAACATTTTGAAAGCACTTATACTAAGAAACAAAGTTGATTGGATTTCTTTTTTATTTTATTTTTTTCAATCAAGCAAAGCATGTTTTGCATTTCATTTATTTTCTGTTTCTCAGCTTTAATCCCAAAATGCTGCATCAAAACAAGAAATATTCCATATTCCAGGCTGCTGAAGGTTTATCGATGGGAGGTCCAGAGCAGCAGTGGACCATGTGACATTGATGCTCTTGTGTAAGTACGGCAAATGAGCCACCGGAGATTAATAAAGCAAAACAACGAATAAATAAATGCAGCGTGCATCATGTGCTGTGCTTTAAGCTTTGTTCATCATTTATTTGCAAAACAGTAGCAATGCAGTTGTTTGGGCTTCAGTGTTTCCCATTGAGTTGGCAGTGTCTTTCACACACTGTTTCATATGCTCTCTGGTTGAACAGCTGAAATAGAGAAATAACGCTTTCAATCTTGTTTTTGGTTTGCAGATTGTACATAAAGGACCAGCGAAAACCATCATGTGTTCACCCAATATATGAAAAGCGGCTGCAGAAGGTGATGATCTGGAGAGAAGAGCGCAAACATAGGAAGTACTGAGCTGTGCAACAAATACTTTACTTTGCTTGACCATGATGTTTCTTATTTTTAAGAGTTTGGCTTTTACAAGCTCTTTCACTTGTCCTGTTGATTAAAATATTCAGGTTAGTTCAACTCTATGAGTGATGGAAATAATATATATTTTCTGGATTTAGGTACTTAAGTATATATAAATATATAGTAGTATATGGAGTATATTTTGGAACTGCAGTGTATTTACATGTTATATTACTGAATCCCTCACATCTCTCTGATTGCTTCCTAAGATAGAAATGTAAAATTATCTGAACACCAGGCTCTATAATCATTAACATGGTCGACATGGAGCTGATAAAACCATCAGCTCTTATTCAACGTTAAATATTTCTTGTATATTAACAGCCAGTACTGACCATTTTTAGATGAGCATTGTGTATAAAGAAGAATGTTGTAATTTTGAGAGTAGTGAGGTTAGTTATGGCAGCATATGTCTGAAAATTGTCAAAATCTGTCAATGTCTTTTTTCACATCTGCCTTTTCTCCTGTTAAAACCTTCAAATCATATTTCTTAATACACTTTATCTATTTAGAGCAGAGATCAGATAAACAGATGTTCTGTGCATTTATAGTGTAGAATATTACTGTCTCTGCTTGAAGAAATGTGCTTTGAAACTGTTGCTTATTTGTTCTGTGACATGTGTCTGCAAATCAGTAACAGTTTTTTAACTATAACTGTATATTTAAATCTTATTATGGTAGCTTATCAGATGCTATTATATCCTATTGTTTTAAATTGTAGTTTATATTTTTGCAATAAATCATAATACATCATAACATGGCATAGTACCTTTTTTTTTATCTTAAAAAGGAAAACAAGTATGAGGCCAATAAGCATGTTTAAACAGCTCTTCTTGTCAAGTACAACTGAAAATTAATAATTAGGATGCAAAATTAAGCCATACCCACAACTGTATTTTATTTTAAAATATGAATAACATCAACTCCCATATGAATGCTCATTTACATAAATAGTTAATCAACCTAATGAAAAAGATAAGGCTGGTGTGTGTGCAGGAGCTTACAGTAATCACAGACAGAATAAAATGATTCCTGCAAGCAACAAGAGTCTTCAGCACAGACAAAGGGAAGACGTTGACAGTGACTCTGGAGGAGCAGCAGAGATCCACAGCTGAGGTGGAAAACTCTACTGAGTGCACAACATGAATTGTTGTGCACTCAAATTTGTTACAAATTTGGCTTCTAAAGAGTGGCGAGATGCACCAGGCACTCACTGTGTAGCTTTAAAATGAAAAGAAAAACAACAAAAAACATGAAAAACTGAACAATTTTAATATTTCCAGCCTTTAGCTTGAGTAAATTTATTAATAGGGAGAGAAAACCTGGGAAAAGAAATATAGTGGGCACCACAATAACCCGCAAATAGCTGAAATCCTTTTAGACACCCCCCTCTAAAAGCACTTATAATAGCACTAACCACCTATTTTAATACTTTAAATACCTATAAAACTGGAGTGGCATAGAAGCTAAGATGAAGCTAAGATTTACTGCAGTTTATTTTAATCTTATCTCATCTTATCATATCTTATACTACATATCAATAGATTTTATTGCATTATATCTTGAAGCATCATATCATTATCTTATCAAAGTTGGGTTTGTTGCCAATGTTCTGTATCCAGTATGCCAGTGATACAGTTACAGTTGCAAGAAACTGCATTTCTCACAGCATTTTTGATCCAGTATACAACTCCATTAAAAACATTTAGAAACACTAATAAATGAAAAAATACAACACAAAACTCATTGCAATACTGGCTGACAGGTTGAAACAATAATTAAATGATGGGACGTGCTGCAAGCACATGAATATGGAGAATAAGGGTCATGGGAGAAAATTTTTGTTTTGCGTTACCTCGCAAAACTTTTGCATTCCCTTGCAATAAGTAAATACACCCTGGTCTATTTTGTATACAGTCACATATTTCAAATATATACACATTAAAAGAGTCTCAGTTCTTTGTTTATATATTCTTAACTCTAAGGTTAAAAAAACAGATTGAAAATGTATTTATTTACTGAAAACTCTGTTGAGAAGTTGAGATGGGCCTTTGATGTTTTCTTGGAGCAGCAAAAGTCTGGAGCGTCTTCCCTGGGAACTTCGACTTCATTGTCTTTCTAAACTGAGAAGTATTTAGCTGCACAAACCCACTTCAAAGACTTAAACCAGGGTGTCAAACTCCAGTCTTTAAGGGTCGCTGTCCTGCAGTTTTTAGATGTGCCACAGATACAAAAACCAGAATCAAATGGCTTAATTGCCTCCTTATTGTGCAGATAAGTTCTCCAGAGTCTTGCTAATGACCTAATTATTCTATTCAGGTGTGGTGCAGCAGCGGCTCTTCCAAAAGTTGCAGGACAGTGGCCCTCCAAAACTGGGGTTGGGCATCTCTGACTTAAACTGTGACCTCAGTTTGGTTTCAGTTGAAACAAAATTATTCAACTGTGATTTTTTTTTTTTCATATTCTTTTGTTGCCGCAGGTGTGGCGCTTGTTCGGCTGTCAGGCTTCAACGTCCAACTTGTCCAAGCTTGTCTTCACGCAGCATTCCCTTATGACACTTCAGTATTATCAATTTTATCAGCTGCAGCTCAGAAATGACACAGTTTATCGTAATAAAGATCCTCCTGGCCCCCTCACCACCACCACACACACACAGTCACAGCTGTTGGCAGTTTTCTTGTTTTCAGCAGCATATCCACATTCCACCTCATGCTGGGTGGTGTGTATGTGAGACGTTTGCACATGAGCGTGCGTGTTGACTGTCGGTATATATACTGATGGTGTTTATGCTCTGAAGACAGTTTCTCCTCTCTGTTACTCCGCCATCATGGATCTGAAGGTGGTGTTGGTGGTTGTCTTCCTGAGTGCTTTGGCCATCACATCCACTAACGGTAAGTCCTGCACCTTTCCTCACCAGAGGAAATACAAAGGAAACAGATCTTTGATCATCTTTGATCATCAGTCAGAAGCAATTTCTTGATTAAATGTCAATTTGAATTTTTAGTGAATTGGTTTCCTGCTATTTTATGATTTTAAAGTAAAAACTGTTAGAATGTGTTTAATAAAGTTTTTCCATATTTTCACTAAATAAATGCCTGTTGCAGCACATAAACATTTGACTGGTATTTCTGGTCCACTTGATTATAACCTGCTGGCAACTGTTGCATAATGAAAAAAATTCAATCTAACTGGGAGTTTTATGAGTTTCTAAAATGTTCAGAACATAATGAAGCTTATTGGAAACATCCATGTCAAAGCACTAGATATATTAAAGTGTTTTTTTTATTATTATTTTTGATCATCTGACTTTGCACAATGTGAAATGACTTTTGATGTGGTTTATCTAACATTGTGTCATCTTTTTTGCAGCGAGAATCCCAAGCTGCTGCATCGGAACACAAATAATTCCAAGAAGATTGATTTTGAAAGCTGAACGATGGGAGCGGCAGTCCAGCATTGGAATCTGTGACATCGATGCTCTGAAGTAAGTACAGCTGGTGAAAGTTTTAGAATCAGACTACAAAGGCCAATGCATGTTTGCATCCATTATGTGCGTTGTTTCAGACTTGCGCTTAAATTTCTGAGCCTTTAATTTGGTTTTATTAATTTAGTGAAATTTGCATCTTTTTTATTCATTGCTGTCTGTCTGTCTGTCTGAAGGGTCTCATCTGCCCACAACTCTACTGATGTGTGGACCATTCTAAATTTACATACTATCAAAAAGCAAAATGTTTTGTTTGTTTTTTAAAAGCTGCACTGTTATGCATCTTCTTGTTTTTCAGACTGTATGTGCAGGGTAGGAAAAAGCCCTTCTGTCTTCCCCCCTACCTGGAAGGGTTTCTGGAAAATATGAAACGACAACAAACCAAGAGAACCTAACATGTGCAAAACAGCTTCGTCATTCATCCATTGTGCTTCACACAGTTTGTTTTCTTATTGTGTTTGGATTGTTTAACCCTCTCAGTTTTTGTGTCATTTAGATATTAGATATTGACTGATGTTTTCTAAAGCAGTTTACTTGGTTTAATATAGAGGAACATTTTTGAAAGTGCTGTTCAAAATAAAGATGTGAAGTTGCATATCTCAGGTTTGGATTGCTGCAAAATGTATCAACCTTTTAAAGCATTGTGCAGATAAACTGAACGATACAACATTGCCGCAACATCTTCTGAGACTGAAAATTTTAGAAAAATGCAACTTTTAATCTGAATACTTTCATTTGTTGAGGACGAAAAGGGAAAAATCATATCCCTCACCATGAGTCATGCCAACAAAATAAAGCAATTCAATCTCTTTTTTTTCATAATTCACTGTTTTTGGTTGATTGATTAGATTGCAATAATTCCTCACTTCCTGTTTCCTATTGGCCAATCTTTTGCCCATCCACTCATCAAAATAAAAAGACAAGAGAACGTGCCATTAAAATAAATCATGTTGATGTCCATAAGTCAGAAAATAAACATCAAATCAGCCATTTGTCAAAAAAGCTGAAAGCAATGAAAACTGTGGCAAGCAAGGCTGGATAAGAACCAAGTGAAGAGGATGATAACTGAGGTAGAAAAAAAATTAAAACATAAAAATCACACTAACTCCAAATATAAAGACTTTTTTTCCACATTTTTTGTAAGATTGGTATTAATTGTGGTGTGTGGGTTTGCAGACTTGTTTTTATTTCCCTTAAAACAATATAAAAAATAATATATATATATTAAAAATGGTAAGAACATTGTATAAATCATGTGTTTGATTTTGCTTGGCTGAATATCTTTGAACTGTATTTCTCTTAATCCAGCAGATTTTTGTATTATGACTGTCGGCATTTATGTGGTCAATAAAGAAAAAACGTTTTAAAGTGTGACTCACATGCTGTTTTTAAGTTCTCCTGTGAATGCCTGCAGATATGGAGGAAAAATAACTTTTTAGCCACACCTAAACTGTCACCTCACACTGGTTTTAGAACGTTGGTTTCTTTTGTGCAAAATCTGAGTCAAAACTTTCACTTTCTCTGACTGCTGCAGGAACTTTAGTCAGAAATAATTCATTATAAATAGAATCACAACTACTTATGACTAACTACATTATGTTGAATCATCTTAACCAGCAGTATGTATAGTTAAACTGTAATAAATAAAATGTGATATGCCCGTCTTTAATCTGAATTGCTGGTAACTGACATAAAAAACTCTAGGCCTATGAGACTGTATTGATAAAGCCAACCATGATGCCATGTGGGGTTCCTCAAGGCTCTGTTCTTAGACCACTTATATTCAGCACCTGCAGGTAAGCCCAAAATGATTCCCATCCCTGTTAGATTCAAATTTAAAACTGTTCATTCAACCTCATATAGTTTTTACAATTACAAATCAGACAAGAAGCTCTCAAAAGATAGTTCTCTACATTAGTTGTAAAGTTGATAGTAATGTTGCTTTACAGTGAGACTTGGGTTCAAATTCGACTTTTGTTTTTTCTGAATGAAGCTTGCATGTTCTCTTCGTGCATTATTGGCATTATTACACTTTTCTTCACAATCCTAAATTGTCTCTTGCAGGAATAGTGCTACACAAATGAGTTTGCCTTATCATTTTTTGAGTCTATTACTGACACTTCTGTGTGTGAACAATTTTTGATTACTTCTGAACACGTTACCCCAGACGCTTGAACGTTTTGATGTTTGGTTTTGGTTTTTTTATGGTTGGCTGTCTGTCGCCTATTTTGTCGTGACTAATCCCTCAGAGAGAGAGATGAGTTGACACGCA